GTCACATTGTCAGTTCGTATAACCTACTCCGGACTATTACGTCGTAGTAAAACGTACTACGGTAATCTAGGTAGTACTCGGAGTACAGTACAAATTTCGTATTGCGTCAAATCCAAAATGCCTTTACGTTATTCCATAAAACGTACTCTACGTGGCATGCATGTCAAGTGCCAGCTGGCGCCTATGAGTAATTGCGACCGCTATACAAACCGCGATCGTACCGTGTCCAAATGCAATGGATATAATGACTGTGAGTACCTTGCTCATTCTCCAATTCACCATGAACGTCAAATGTGGCACCCTCTTCAAGAAAAGCTCGGGCAACGGGTTCTTCAAGCGCTACCATTGGACACCTCGCCATTGCATTCTCACGACCACCTCACTCAGTTACTACACCCACCAAGGCGGAGCGTGGAAGGGCAGCATTGACCTGACCGAGTGCACGTTGCAGTCGTTGGAAGAGATGCCAGCAGATTGTCCAAAGACTGGGCGATCGGTGGCCACAGGGTGGCGGATAGCCATCCAAACGCCGACCAAACGGTACTTTATTGCAGCGACTTGTGAACGAGACATGCACGAGTGGCTCCAGGCGTTGAAAGTAGTGATCAAGATCAACGAAATGCAGTGGATGAAAACGCCCACCGCTGCCAAGCGCGTCGTTCAGCAGCGGACTACACAGTGTGGGGTCGTGCGTTGAGTTGCGCATCAGCTATTGAAGTAATTTATTCAAAAAGTTCACGTAATAACGCTGACGCTTGGTTACAATAGAATGTACCTTTAAGCATACGTTACTCTGTGTACCTTGCCCACTGCAGCTCACTTCTCCAGTAAGTACTTAATAATATTCACGAAGTTGTGAGCCAAAGTGGGATAAACAATGGCCTGCGTCACAGAGCGTTGAACTTACTCCAATGGCCACTTTCACTAATGTTATCATGATACTTCTGGTTTAGCGACAATACTATGTACAAGAAGTACATTTTAATTTATCAGTGTGTTAAAGATGACGACAATAATACGGCACTTTATCAATTAGAACCGCTCTCGTTATAGTTCAACCAACGTGACAACTCGACCGTGCAGTGGCTGCGTGTCACGCGCCGACGATTTGGGAAATAGTCGCAAGTACGTGTTCAATTGCTCATGGGAGATCGGTTGTGGTGTGGACAGCACAACCCATTCGACGTTTTCACTGAAACTTCCTGCTGTCAGGGAGCCTGAGTATCGGTAAAATTGGTGGCCTCGGTGAATACCCAGCAATTTCCCTCGGAGTTGCTTGATGGGAGGCATTTTTCCTGATGGATGTTGCGGAAGGAGGGGGAAAAACTGGGTCAAAAACGGATTCATGTGGGTCGAGACTTCAAAAAGCACGCCAACGACTGCCAACTGGGTAGGGTCGGTCACAGATTGATGCACAATGTGCATTTCAAGGGGGAACTGGTGGCCATTGACGCGGTGGTCGCTGCCTGCGTGAAAATGCAACTGAAGCGCTTTGTACGAGTTGCCATCCAACACGAGGCGAGACTTCGGCCCGGCTGACCAGTCGACTTGCACGGTGTTGCCCTTGTGCACCAACGTTCCTGGTGCAGAGCCTAAGTGGATTTGGAGCAGATTCCCGTTGTTGTTACGCGCAACTTGAGCTTGCGCGGGCATGAGGTCAATAGGAGATTGGCGTTGGCCCAGTGACGCTACACATGACAAAGCCGCCAGCACTAGCAAAACCGTCGTCGGCATAGCCCATCGCATTTTATCGTCGGGTGGGAAAATGGAAAATGATGTGTGGGTGACGATGATGGGGCTGTATTTTTTCAGTTGATGGATTGTGACGGGCAGTACAATTTACGACACATCTGGAGTCACCAGGTTTGGACCATAGTAAACGTTAGGGTAGTTGTGCTGAGGTTCTTTCCCTACCAGTACTAACGTAAAAAAATATTTAAGATAACTTCGTATTGCCCAACCACAACTCGTTATTTGTTCAAGGCAAAACCTCTGTAATATAATGCGAACTTCGGCTTCACTTTAAGAAATGCCAATTCAGCGTCGAAGCCGTACACATCGATCATTGAGTATTGTGTTCGAAATGTCTTTGTTGACACCGATCACATTGGGTTGGATTTGAGGCGAGTCGAACGTGAAACTCGCTCAGCATATTTCCACAACATAAATAAATTCTCTACAAAATTATAGCCTTGCCAAATTGATATTCATCCTGTTGTAAACTACTTACTGTTACCCTAAACACGGAATTTCAATCATTCACACTAGCTTTATATTTGTCTTGAATTTAGTATTCATCATTGAACGTGGTTACAGTTCTTCAGGACGAAATGGTGGTTACAGATGGGCGGGAAATACGGTAGTATGGGCTACACTACAGCGAATCCCCGGTTTTTGCAGATTGTATATTAATGTCGTGATCAACATTTTTTACAAATAACGAGACAATCATTTCGACCATACTACTAGTACTAACTAGTATCGCGATATCTTTATGAATGCCAACATGTCATTCATGGCACTCGTTCAACGTGAATGGCCCTGCGACGGATTCGACATCGTTTTCGCAAATTTTATAATGATATTTGGCCGAAAATACATGAAAAACGAAATATACAATATATCGTGCAAGTCGCCTAAAGACTACAAAAAAATGCCTTGTCTTTCGACGGCTATTCCGACTTTGTATTGATATTTTTTAGGAAAATAAGCCGTAATAACGATAGAACGAGACAAGCCCAACAGAAGATACGGTTCAGATTTTCGATTGGTGAAATAATGATCGAGTAATAGAACTTGAACTAACTGGCCTTTTTGTATGGAGATACACATTTTGGCCGAAAAGGAGTATCAAGTATATCTTGGTCTTTGTATACAGCACTTATCCGTACAAATATTTTCATTGTATCCGGATTATTCACAATGTTTAACCTACTGATCTCCCCCCTTAAACGAAACGGGGTAAACTTGATAATTTTTGAAACTTTATATTATCCAACCATATCGGAAGGTGAAGACTTTTCAATATTCAAACACTTGAATCGTTTGGCATTGAAATGGATGACATCATTTCCACTGTAAGAAACTGCTGGAGACGCACTGGCGTACTCAGCCTGACTTGGAGATGTCCAGCGCTTCAATGCATGTATAAATAGTTGGTCCAGACAGCCTGCAAATACCTGTAAGAGTTAATTTACTGTGTGAATTGCATAATTTGCTCCGTTTCGTTTAAGGGTGGAAATCAGTAATTACTTCGAAGTACCAGGTAAACAACGTAACAAATAATGATTTAACGTCAACATTTCGAGGGTTTAACTGAAAGAACCGAGGCGTTTGATAGTAAAACGTCTCCTCCTGAGGATGGCCGATCTGTAGTCTTCAGATGACTTGCACCATACTACTCCTACGAGTATATTTTGCGGGATATCGAATATTCCCTGTGATTTTGCGAAACCCCGAAACGCGTCCGTGAAACCCACCGACTTGTTGACCACGCTCAAGGCGTCGCTGCCCCAGCGCCACGAACCTGCTCTACATGCCGTGCAACGAAGCCCAAGTGCTCGGCACTGCCATGACTCGCCTTCTGTCAGTCGTTCGCGCTTGCCCTCCCTCCGGCGCTGCCGTGCGCATATCTCGTCGAGTAGGGACCGCTGACAGCGCAGTGAATATATCTACCTATTCAATGGCTATACATATAATCATGCCTTCTTCCCCAGTCATTCGAGTTTCAGTGGGCGGTAAACCCCGGATATGTGTTGCAATGTGGTAGTAGTGATGGCTATCTGGCCTTGATCTACCGAGATACGTTACTTGACCTCAGCGTCTGACGTCAAGTCCAGTTGTATCTTGGGCATGTAATCTGAAATGTATGAGGTTTTGTATGGGTGAAGGGCCTTGTTGTATTCCAACCACTTTAAAAACGAATATATTTTAAAACGTGATGTAAAAAAGAGACTTCAACTGCTACAAGGACCTTGAACATCCAATACCCTGTGCGAAGTAGTACAAAAATGAAACCTCCCCCCCCCGCAGGGATGACCTTCCGCATGCGGAGCAGAGGCTCTACCCAGTGAGCTGCGGGGGAGAAAAGAAGGGATATCTGGATGAAGAGGACCCGCGGTTCGGTTAAATAACCGGATCGTGAAAACACTGTAAACACAACCAACCCCCCCCCCCCCGAGTGAGCCCAATCAGCCGGATAACGCGAGAAGGCAATATTAAGTTAGGAATAATATCCGGTTAAAATTCTAATAAACCTCCATTGACAATGAGCTGCGGGGGAGCTTCACTTGGGATACAATCGTCAACCTCGACAAGTTCCAAGTTGCTGAAGACTGGATCACCCACTCATCAATCCTTTGTCGTTTGTGGGTCCTCCTAGTGGCCAGCTTACTGCGTGACTTGTGGATTTATCGCAACAGGACCAAATTCGAAGGAAGACCAGTTCCGTATCTCAAGGCAGTCAAGGAAGTCTCCTTGATATCCTGGAGTGCCAACGTTCGACGATGGCTTCGAGATCCGTCAACACTAGAAGACGAGAAATCTGAAGTACTTCATATTCTGACGACCAACTCAAGCCGCACGAACATTGCACCTGGTTTTGGCGAAAATACCCAAGTCCTTCAAGATTGGTTTCGAGGCTTCAAGCGTCTTAGCCCAAGCCATCGAGACTTAGTAGTTTTGTGATTTGAAGTCATGTTCTCTACTTAGACGTATTGGCAAATTATTGATAGGGGTTAAGGTCAAAATATACCCTGATTGAACCTGAGCTGCGGGGGAGTTCGAAATCTTTCCCATCTTCAACAACCCAAAGTTTGGTCATTATCCGGATGTTCCGGATGAGTGCCACATTGGCGACTTTTCGATCTTGTCTGACTTTTGCAAGAAGCAAGTCGGTCAACCCCCCGACGAAGCTGTGGCGTTCGGCGCGACCGTGCAAGCCGCGATCTTGTCGGGCAACGACAGCTCGGACAGATTGCAAGACTTGTTGTTTCTGCACGTGACGCCGTTGTCGCTCGGGTTGAAACAGCCGGCGGTGTGATGATCCAGCGCAACACGACGGTAAGAAGTCGCAGACGTTTTCGACGGACAACCAGCCGGGTGCGTTGATCCAAGTATTTGAAGGCGAGCGCTCGATGACGCGCGACAACAACTTGTTGGGCAAGTTTTCCTTTGACGGGATCCCGCCCATGCACCGCGGCGTGCCGCAGGTGGACGTGACGTTCGACATTGACGCGAACGGGATCTTGAACGTGTCTACGATCGAAAAGTCGACGGGCAAGGAGATTACGATCACTAACGCCAAGGGTCGCTTGAGCAAGGACGACATTATTGAGCGCATGGTGCAAGAAGAGGAAAAGTCGGAGGAAGAGAAGCCAACAAGTTGCGCGTCGAAGCGAAGAACGGGCTGGAAAACTACGCGTACAACCTGCGCAACACGCTCAACGTCGAGAAGCTCCAGGGCAAGTTGGACGAAGCGGACAAGAAGGTCATGGAGGACAAGGTGACGGAGACGATCAAGTGGCTGGACGCAACGAAGGAGGAGTACGAAGCCAAGCAAAAGGAGCTCGAAGGCGTGGCCAACCCGATCATGCAAAAGCTGTACGCGGCTGGCGGTGTTCCCGACTTTGGCGCCGCCAGTGCGCAAGGCCCCAAGATTAAGCGACATGCCTCCATCTATAACTTAATGGAGCCATTCTTACATCTGAACTAACGTATAGTGTACATGTGCTGCTGTTGGTGTCAAACGTTCGAAAGTGTTGTCAGTTGAAGCTTAGTATGTACTCGAGAGATTACATGAGGGAGGGACTTTGCAGTACAGGCCACAAAATATCATGATATTTCTCAATATTTCGACAAACATCGACAAATTTTGAAGTAATGGTGTGTCTGGATACCATTGTTCTCACAAATTTTATAGTGATATTTGGCCGAAAATATCCTGTAAAACGAAATCAACAATATACTCCTCCTACGAGTATATTTTGCGGGATATCGAATATTCCCTGTGATTGTGCGAAACCCCGAAACGCGTCCGTGACTTGTCGACCACGCTCAAGGCGTCGCCGCGCCAGCGCCACCAACCTGCTCTACATGCCATGCGACCAAGCCCAAGTGCTCGGCACTGCCATGACTCGTTCTGTCAGTTGTTCGCGCTTGCCCTCCCTCCGGCGCTGCCATGCGCCTTGGGCAATAGTGTAGCCCAACACTAGTTGCGGACAAAGGTGCACCTGTGTTGAGTACAAAGTAGGCGAACATGTTGCACTCGTCGAGCTGTCGTTGGCGATGGTATTGGAGTACTTTGTTCGTTGATATGGATCCCTAATACAGTACAGTAGTCTAGGCGGTTAGGATATATGGCTTTCACCCATACGACCCGGGTTCGAGTCCCGGTTAGGGAATTCTTTTTTGCTCGGTTTGTCCCTTGCTTCACTATCGTACCTTTGGATTCACCTGTCATTAGTGGAAAAAAGTCGGATAGGATTTACAGAAACCAAGTGATCGTCGGACCGTTTGTCCGTCTTTCTTGTTAGTTGTAATATTTATTATATACAAAAGCGAAGTCAAAACCAGACGTGAGAAATTGACAGAAGAAAGTCGGACCGAATGTCCTGTATCCATTGATTGGTTACAAGTGCAATTTGACCATGGCAGATGAGCAACATAATGATGTTTTGCCTGCAACCCGCCAGCTAGAAACGACAGTACAGTACAGTACCTTAGAGCCTGGAACTACTGGAGGTGTGGTAGTAGTGATAGGTCTGGCTGTGGTGGTCGTAGGATGAGCAGTAGTGATTGCTGTGATGGTGGGTGTGGATGTGGTAGTAGTGACTGGTCTT